CCTTTATTTCAGGGCTTTTCTGACTCTCTTAGAATTTGTTGCTCCTTTTTTTGGTGTAACCAAGCCTGAGCTGTCAGTGTAAGATGTAAACTGCTGGGCCTGGATGATAATGATTCTGCCTAAGCTAAAACCCAGGGTAAGGCAGGCTTGTTGTGCTGCCCCTGCCTGTGTGTCACACGTGTGGACACACCTCTGGGATCCAGCTTTTATCTTAAGGGCGTATCCAAATAAGATTTTACAGGAAAATGGGAACTCCAGTGTCATCTGGCAGAGGAGAAAAGCCACTGTAAGATGAACTGGTCTTCTCCAGCAGGTGTTTTATCAAAAATCAACCCTTTTTATTTATTGCATGGTGGATTCTTCCATTTGTCAAATGTTCAGAAGAAGCCTTTCATTTAAAAGGAAGGGAGGAAGTCTTGTACAAGTGACTTGTATGGACTAAAATAAAAAAGTAAACTAGGCAGGAATAAACTCGCTGTGTGGGTTGCAAAGAAAAGAAAAACTATCCTGGCCTTGTTCAGTTCCTGAAAGGGTGTTCTGGGAATGTTTGATTACAAGAGCTGGATGTCTCATCAGCTGAGCTGGACATAGGAATGGATAAAGAATGTTAACTGAAGGTGTAGCAATGTGATATATCCCTGCTTTTCCTGACTCTGCCCCCTCTCTCAGCAGGCAGTCGGTGAGAACAGAAGAAGGAGCAGATGATGGCACCAAATCCTGCCCTGGAGCTGTGCCTGGTGCAAACAGCATCCCGTGCGGAGAAGCAGATCGTGCTCCTGCAAAGTGTAAGTGCCTGCTCTGGTACATTCCTTTACAAAGAAACCCCACAACTACAAATAAACCCCCTCTGTGCGTCTGAGCTGGAAATTTGGGGAAATTCCTTCCTAAAGGTTGTTTGGAGATCAGGGAGAAATGCCTGCTTTGTAACTTGCTCTGGTCATCCAACATCTGCCCTTCCTTCCCTGTCTGCCATTCCACCCTTTTGTCCTTGCTCGCACTGACTGAAACATTTTGGGCTCACTTTGTGTAAGTTCTGATAAATCTTTTGTAATAGATTTTTGGGTTTTGCAGCTTAACGATATCAAATCCTTCCTGAGATTTATTGTCAGCTGCACTTGACCTGGGGATCAGAACTGAGAGCGTTTGATGGAATTTGTTGCAGAATCAGGGAATGCTGTGGAAGTTGCTATTTTTGGTTTCTGTTTTGCTGTACCTAGAGACTACAGATTTTAAAGAAGTGGAAATGATAAACAGTGTTTTCTTGGGCGTTCAAAACATGATGAGTGTGTGCATTTCATGAACTTTGGCTTCTGGGCAAGCTGATTTGTATTGTTCCTGAGGGGAGTGGTGCAAAGACATCAAAAAGCTTTTAGGATTTTAGAATTCCTTAAAAAAACCCAAACCACCACCACCACCACCACCTCCCAGTGAAGGCGTAGACTGACACAGTGGGAATTTAGGCCCTTGGGAATCAGTTTGCTTTTCCCAGTTGCCTTCCACAGACCCTGCTGAAAGGTTCCCAGACCCTTCCAGCCTTGCTCTGTACAAGCAAATGTGGCTGCGATGGCAGGGTTGGAGCTGGTGTGGAGCAGGTATTTACAGGAGATGGGACTGGTGTGGGGTAAACCACAGAGTGGCTGTGTTGGCTTCCTTCTGCAGGGTTCTTGATGTGTCCCACCACTCCAGAACAGCAGCAGAGGCAGCCCCATGGCAAGGGGTGGGAGAGGAGCAGCCTCAGAAAATGGCATTTCGTCCAGATAGGGCCCAGAAGAAATTAAGTTTAGCAAAGAAAACAAGTTTCATCAGTTAAGGCAATAAAGCACAGTCCCAGAGCAAGTCAATAATGCTCAATTGACAGCCAGTCAATATTTGTACTGGATTAACTTTTCAAGGAATGTGGAGATTTCGGTGGGTTTTATGTAAACACTGTAAATAGGTTGGGACACTAAAGTACGGTTACAAATACCGCGTGTCAGATCAGATTAGAATCACTTCCAGGGAGCAGGAGTTTTCCTACCACGAAAGAGACGTTTATACCTTGTGAAATGAGCACAGATACAAATTTTTTTGTTTGTCAAATACATTCCAGAATGCAGCTGGGCAGATCTCGTGGCAGTGCCGCTCACAACACTCCAAAGGACGGCTTCGTCCCTCCCCTTCTCCCAAGCCGTGCCAGGTAGGGCTGTAATTCAGGTGTCAGTGCTGTACAAATGAATTTAAATTTTGAGCTGGGTACGGTGGGAAGAGCTGTTAGGAAACATCCAGCATTTATCACGCTTGTTCTTTGCTGAGGAATCGGTCACTGTGCACAGAGATGGGAGCACTAGTGAAGCCCACGCAGGTAACACGCCACCAAGAATCCCTCTTGCTGGAAAATAAGATTACTGCATTTTATTGTTCTTCCGTTTATTTCTCTTGCCCTTTTTCTTTTCTTTTTTTTTTTTTTTCCTTAGAAAAGGTAATTAGGCCATAAACAGAGGTCTGACAACTAATTTTATCTGCAGCAAAATTAATATCATAAGCAACAGATAATTTTAGCTGAGCAAAATTAAAAAAGATATATTTTAATGCCATTTTAAACCCACAAAATTTAAATTTTTTTTTCCCTTCTGAACTTCTCATGCCTGGCTATTTTGATATGTGTGGAGATGCTCACTCATTTAGTGAACAAATGTTTTACCTCTGTGCAGTTCCTGTCTAACCAACAGGCCTTGCTGGTGCTGGCCTGAGGTACGAAGTTGCTTTTAATTTCCTCTCTCTTGTTCTCTGGTTCCTTTCAAAGAAGAAATGATCTGAGGGAAAAAGACGTTGCTTTTCTTACCTCTAAATTTTCATTGACATTAATAGGAGGCAGGTGGCCAAATCCCTGCACACAACTTTGAAAATTTAGGGTTTAACTTTCCTTTTTTTTTTTTTTTTTTCTTTTTCCCTGGGCTGATTCTCACGTTGGTGGAGTTGTGAATCCTCTGAAAAGGTATTAAATGTGCAACCACACCATGTCAGCAGTGCTTACAGAGTTTATCTACAAAATTATCGTCTACCTTCCAAATCTATAACCCTAAAATATTGATTGGTTAAAAGGTAGTGGGTAAAGATTAAGGCAGCATAGCAGCAGATTACCCTAATCAAATAAAAAGATTATTAACAGAGCTGCTCCCAGTTCTGAAGATGTTGGTTTGAAATACAGATGTCTTAACCAAAGTGCTGTGTCTCGTTTTCTGAATGCATTTTTGAATGCATTTAAATAAATTACCAAACAGAAAGGAAGCAGAGGAAGAACTCCACGCGCTCCAGACAGTAAATTTCCGTTTATAATAAAATTATTTTGTGCATTTCAGCAAGCAGTTGGAACTTTTAAAGATCTTTTTCGTTGGATAGTGAGGAGTCAAGCACTGGATTCTCAGCTTGCAGGGCTCTCTAGGCACAGGTGTGATTTGTAAACCTGTAGCTGAGTGTGGGACGTGAGTGTGTGTGGCGAAAGGCAGGAGCGGGGTCCTCGTGCAAAGCCAGTCTTTCTGCTTGCAGAGGGATGGTGTCCAGCCTGTGTTTTATGCTTTGGGAACAGCGTTTGGAGGTGATGGATTTGGGATGCCAAACTTTGAGGCAGTGCTTGCTGCAAACCGAGGGCTGTTTGGTTGCCTTGGGGCAGAGCGAGGTGATGTTGTGCAGGGACCTGCAGAGGTACCGGGTGTCTCTCCCTCTCTTGGTCTGCTCCAACCCAGTGTTCCAGATCCCATCCCCAGCCCCTTCATTTCATTTGGAGCCCTGGGATCCTTTGGAAAATTATCCCTGCTTGAAACCAGCACCGGTTCCGCCGGTTTTGAATTTGTCACAAACGTCTTATTTAGCATCGAAGGCCGTACGGTTATTAATGCTCAGGAGGAGTAAAGCAGCGGGAATATTGCCTAGGAAAGAGTGGCATTTGTCACTAATGCTTTTAAGGTATAGTAGGAATTTTTATCCAGCCAAAGGCTGAGTTGTGGTTTATCCTCTTGAAAGACTTTCCCATTGAGTGACGGCTAAGCAGGGATTGAGCTAATAACCCATGCCCTGGGTTATTGGAGTCACGGAGACAGAAAGGCAAAATAGGGCGGGTAATGTATTAATTTTCATCAGTTATGGACAATACTATTAAATTACTGACTCTTGTTGAAATAACGTGTCGCCGATTAATAATGTCATTTCAACTTCCTCAACTTTCCCTACCTAAAAATTTTAATTTGAGAAGAAAAAAAGATTTAAGAACGCGTGAAAAGGGTTTTGGTGCTGTCACTCCTCGGTGTGGAGGTCTTCTGTTTTTGTTTTAAGTCGCACCTAATTTTAAGTCGCGGTGTAAATGAGGTTTTAAAAGTTTTTAACAGTGATGTGGATAAATTTGGAATTAAAATTGAGATCTGAAATGTTGTGTTGCTCCACTTTTAAAAATAAGTTCCCTTCTCATTTGCAATTAAAATTTCTAGAATCTGCATAAAATGTGTGAAATTAGAGATAATTGAAATACAGTAGCTATAAATATGTCTGCTCCATTTGAAAAACAAATAAAATGTCCACTAGAAAGGTGCGAAAGCCGTACCCCCTTCTCTTGTTTCTCACATTTGGCTCTCTGGCATTTTTCACACTTTTATGGCTAATTTTTATTGCAAAACAATATGTTACATTTGTAGCCGTTGTGGGAATGCAGAATAGCCCCTGGCAGCTCCGTAAAAACATGGAATGTTGGGAACACATTTGGAGGAACACAGCTTTCCATTTCATCCCCAGCATCGGTGTCGTGGAATCCTATTAAGCGTGATCCAACAAAAACAAAAGGGGGGGGAAAAAAGAAAAGGCAGCGTTAGGGAAAATACTTAAAATTAGCCATTATTCGAAGTGTATTCATTCTGCTCTGTTTCTTCTGTTTTCATAACATAACAAGTTGTGGTGATACCGAGCGGTGCCTCACACGCAAATTTGTAAAGACGCTTCTCTGACTTCAGCCTCGAAACTCAGACTGATATTATTCATACGACACCCCGTGCAGCCCCTTTAGGACTGTGATGTCCCGTCACTCCCAGTGCCATGCAGTGTTTCTGTTACTGGGGAACACCCAACTTCCAAAGGGCTGCTTGGGTGGAGGAACAGGCAGGTCTTGGGTTGCTCTGCATCCGGCGCAAACACCCACCACAACTGGATGTAATTTGCGCAGAAGGGAATTGGGAGGCCTCGCTGGAGATTGCTGCCCTCTCTCATCGGCGCTCCCCATCCCGGCACGTTATTTCTGGAACCCCTTGTTTTCTGCAGGCATCCCTTGTAGAGGGGGTTATGCCAAAACTAAAGAGTTTCCCTGCTGGTTTGAGCCTGAGGGTAACTGGAATTCAGCAGGTTTTAATGTCTGTGGCTCCTTGGGTAGTTCCTCCCTCCTCCCTGTTGCGAGGGGTGTCACAAGGCATTTTGCTGTACCGCATTTTGGGCAGAGGTGGGGGATGTATACTGGACTCAGGTGCCTCACTTTCAGATCTTACACGATTCCCGATTTGGGGATAAGAATTACGAGGAGGAGACAGATTTCCAGGATGTGTTTGAGGAGTGCTGAAATGTTAATGCGTTAAGAGCGAAACGGTGGGATTTAAATGGCTGCATTGAGTAGCAATAACAGTACAGAGGGATTGATCCCAGAAAAGTAGCAGAGAGGTTGTGTCTCATACAGGCCTAACCACTATGGAGTCATTCTTCAGAGACAGACCAAGCAACAGAAGAACCACAGCCTTACCTGCAAGGTGCCTTTTCATATGTGCTTTCTTCTCTC